CATCAACCAATGCCAAGGTCTTGCATACAAAACATATGCACGTCACCTGGAAGTGCCCTGAGCCACACCGCGGTGCGCTCCTCAAACCTACCAAAGTTTGCTAAGAACTGACTCACATGACACACGTCTAAAATTAGCAAACTTAAACTCTAACCTCTTGATCTCATGAACCAGCATATATTGCATAACGCAATTTATCTGTAGTCGTGGTCAAAGTTAAGAGAAGTTCGACTTACTGAAAAATTAGTACACCCTATATTTTGAAACGGAGGAAAGTAGTATAATTTTTCGGTGATATTTCTTTACAAGAAAAGGCCTCGACCCGGTTCCATTTTTATTAAAAATGAAACCAAGTATCTGGATACAGCAACAAACTCGCGTTCACAGACTGAATTGACTGTATCAGCACACAAACAGCTAGGGAAATAAAAAACCAGGTTCAGCTTGCTCACACAAGGCAAGTTACATAGCGCAAAACCATCCCAGGGGAGGGACCAGCCAGCAGAAAGCATAAGGAAACCAAGGTGGGAGGGGAGAACGCAGAACAGCTCCAGGAGCTATCTTCAGCGAGCTCCCCTCATGCACCAGCTTCAGCGATGATTCTTCTGCCAGCTTCGCCGGTCCAGCAATGGTAGCAGCCCACTTAGGAGAGGAGAAGCTCACCAGGTAGCCATCCTTCAGCCTGGATCTGGCCACATCAGAGAGGTGGTGGGCGCCTCTGATGTATGGTTGTGAAATCCAAATGCATAAAGATACTTTAATTGGCCGGTTTATGTGGCATCGCCCTCTGACAAATTATGGAGCTCTCAACCGAACTTGGAATAACATCTCATGCTCATGCGAGATACCATTTGAAGATCATAAATTCATAGAGAGAAATAAAATCCCTCTTTTCAAGCCTTTACGTTGTGGAACGGGAAAGCTGCTAGCTGCCCATAGTGTTTTTTACAGTGCTCCTGGCATGGCATGTCATCTGTACATCGTCTCTCTCACCTTGTCGTGCATTGGTAGCTTGCTCAGACGCCGAGCATGATAGGTAAAGTATGGCACACAATGATTGCAGGCTCTCTTTCCCATTTGAAGATGCTGAGGATAGGTCACTTTCTACTGCCATAGGAGCAGATCCCCAGTACGCTGCCAGCTACGGCCACGCTCTTTTCCATATAGTGCTCACAGACCGGTGTACTTTCTGGCTCTAGCTTGTAGACGAGTCCGGAAAATTATTAGTATAATACTCCTAGGAAGACACGCTGCTGTAAGACTGTAAAAAGACTGATAAAATTTAGTAAGTGCTCAGCAAGATGCATGCATACTGGCTGTGTTCGTTTGGCCCTTCTGTGTGTTTGGGCTTAAGATGATAATGTTAGATTATCGTCTTCGGTTTAATAACAGAGTGCTCCTCAACATGGTGTAGTCGTAAAGCCCTAGTAGTACACTTGCTAAAGCGTACATTAGCATCAAGCCGACATCTTGTTACGAGTACGTACAGCTCATGCTTGACACTTGAACAGCAGCGCCACGTATTCTCTCTTAATGTCCCTCTCCTTGGGTCCATATATATGAAGCTCGAGTAGCTTCCAAAAAGAATTATCAGTACTTGATAATAAAAAGTAACGGAATTCATAATGGCATACTCAGGACATGAGGTATTCGAGGGCGAACACTCTTAAGACATTGCGACGCTGGGTCAATGAAGCGTAGATAGTGAGGGGAGGTATCTTGCTCCGCCACATGTGACCCGTTCCTATGATAAGCTTGCAACTGACATCCCACCGGTATACTTCACAATTGTTAATTGCCGACTGAAAAGCAATTATTTTACTGTTCTGTTAATTGCAGACTGAAAAGCAATTGTTTTATTTCGGCGCTCCTAAGGAGAAGCGATGTATATCTCCGGCCCAAAGACCTTGTCTTAGCTTGATCTAGATACGCAATTCTAAGACAAGCTTTTGGAGACGGAAGGAGTATCTTTTAATTTTGAAAAAGTGCTTTTAGGGATATGTGGTACTTAATATACGTCCCTCGGTCCTCTCGTAAAAAAAATATGGACACAAATGGGGTTTGACACACTAGTAGAAAACAGGACATTAGTCCCGGTTCGTAAGGGCCTTTAGTCCCGGTTGGGCAACCGGGACTAAGGAATCGGGACTAGAGGCCCCTTTTTTAGTCACGGTTGTGTTACGAACCGGGACTAAAGGGACTCCACGTGGCCGCTGTGGAGCGCTCAGGCAGGAGGATCTTTAGTACCGATTTGTAACACCAACCGGGACTAAAGGCCGCCACGCGTCAGGCGCTACCAAGCGCTGGGGTTCAGGGTTTTGGAGGGGTTTAGGGTTTTGGAGGGTTTAGAGGTTTTATTTTGTGTTTCCCTTTTCTTTTTATGTTTACCATTCAATTCTTTTTCATTTCGGGTTTTCATTTTTATTTTATGTTTTCCACTCAACTTGACGCTACTACATATAGCAATGAAGGAACCATTACACAACATCGTCACGAATGTAGAGAAGTGACATTTTTCTCCGTGCTTGGTCGAACAACAAGTTTTCATATATATATATTCGACGCTACTACATATAGTACACGTTCATGCATATATACAATATAATATCTCTTACGATCCCTAATATCTAATTACCAATTCCCGATGGTATTCTCCGGTTTTAGATATGACCTCTTCAAATAAGAATCCCGTCGATTCCTCTTGAATTGCTCATACGCGATCCTTTGGTAGGAGATCGTACCGCATCAGTTCGATCCAATTTAAAGAAGGAGGCCAATATATATGAATGAAACTCAACACAATTGATGGTAATAAAATAAAATTGTGAATATTGTTTAGGTACTCGAAGTTGTTCTAAAATTCCGCCCTTCTCACATGTCATCTGGCAAATGAACTCGCAAACGTAGTATTCACATAAAGTATTCCCGTCTTCCTGTCTCAAGCACTCTACGATAATAGAGTTCAATCAAAATAATAATCAAGCATGATAGTGGTATTGAAACTACAATAAAAGAGATGCGCGGACCTAGCTAGTACTACTTATGTTGAGTTGTCGAAATTGCAGCTCGTCT